TCCTGGGACAGACACGAGCCTACTAAGTTTCTTTATTGAACCAAAGTTTTGTAATTTAGCAAATTAATTTGACTTGCTACCTACGAGTATAAAAAGGTAACTTAGGTTTGTTAAGATTGATAAATAGACAATTTAGTATCTAAAATAATTGGCATCAGACGTAATAATATGTCTAGATTGACTATTCGATTCTATTGAGATGACAACGATGATTCAATTGAATAGTGACAATTTTAGACAGGACGTAGACTATATGTGACCGAATATTTCTTAATGAAACTTACAAAACTATATAAAAACGAATAGGTATAAAGTATGATCGGACAACAAGTGTTGGTTGATCAAATCCATTTGGAATTGTTCCAACTGCAGCAGACCGGCGGCGCTCCCTTATCAAAACAAGTAAATTGTTTTCGATATCTGGTGTAGTGGTTTACATTACTTACTAGTACTAGTGACATAATCGCAACGACCAATGTAAGGTAATAATATTTTGTATAATAGTAATTTTAAGGTTAACGGCTATGGTTATACCTTAGCGCTTTGTATATCTCGCCGTAAATGTAATGATAGAATGTATGAATGTTAAAAACAAGAGAAGTGTGTCACGCCCCAAATGGAAATCTGTAGTCTAACCCTTCAGCGTTACGAGAGTGAATTAAGTACGTAATTGATTTAAAGTAACGAAACGACTGAAATACTGTTAAATATCATCAAAATAGGATTATCAGAAGTCTCGTATCAACTCGCTATCGATAATGATCAGAGGTTGCCGGTTCAGAAATGTTTGACGTTAGCAAATTACCGTTAGTCCCCGAAGCCTGGATACCTCGTTAGTGGTTGATATAGACTTTCCCGAGAAGTTGCAAGCGACTTACATTTCAAGATAAAATTTAACTTTTAATATTGGATTTCAATATCGGTAAATTGCATTTATTAAAATCATAACTGGTTAACAATTTCTTTTGAAATTAAAGATGTGATATAAGAAAAAATATTCAGGACCAGCTTTCGCCCCCGACTCCGTCCGCGTGGAATTAATAAAAACAAAAGTAAATAATAAATACCCCATGTGTTCTTTCAGAATATCCTCTACATTTATACCAAATTTCATAGAAATCCGTTCAGCTGTTTAGGCTACAAACTCTAACAAGCATTCATCTAAACTTTCGCATTTATAAGATATACTAATCTTATATGATTAGTATGATTGCTTAATTCTGATTATGTACAGACACACTTAAAAACTATCAACGGCAGACCTATAAAGGCAGACCTTTGGTATGTGTAGTATGATAATTATTGACTAGACGACTTCACCAGTAATCGAACATAAAATTAAAATAACAGTTGAACATTTTACAATAAAAGTTTCTCATCTCGCATGTAAAGATTCAAATGTTTTGTTAGTTAACATCAATATCGATGAGTTCAACATTACTAAGAATTTTACTTTGGCAATAAGCCAATGGTTTATTTATTATGGACAATTTTATAAAATAAAAGAAACATCGGTACATTGGTAGAGGTAGACAAACAAAGAGATGGATGGATTGCGTGAAAGGTGACATGATCAAAAAGCGAGTGATGACTGAGATGACGTATGATAGAGTTATGTGGAGGACAAAAACCTGTTGCGCCTTATGGGAGTAGAATAAAGAGGATGATGATAATTTTTAAAACAAAAAACAGACGTGTTAAAAAGAATGTAAATAATTCCTTCAACGTGCAATACCTACATCGACTACACTGGAAATAAATGTTAGCTTCATTGTCAGTTTCATGAATAGCATGAATATTTAAACGCTCTCAAAGTACCAGCTTTGTAGTAAAATAGTGACGTAAAAGAATGTTCTTTAATATGCAAAAGCAGTATATTTATAATCTCACTAGCTTTTCCGCGACTACGTCTGCGAGGAATTACAAAAACAAGATAGTCTATGTGATCTTTGTGTTATAGAGATCTGTTGAACCGTTCCAAAGTCAAATTGTAAGAAACATCCTTCCATTTAACTTTCGCATTTATACCATTAGTAAGAAGGCATATTTTTGTAAAATCCTTACAAACTTGTACATCTATTTAATGTTAATTTGCATTGAAAAATTGATCAAAAAGCAATAGTCAGTTTAAGACTGTTTTCTCCTTGTCTAGAAGTAGAATGTTTGTTCTCAATGAATTACTTTATATTTTTTAATACAAAAATGTTCATTAAATTGGCGTCTAACTGTATAAAATATTGTACGTTTTACTGCGCACATCCCTACACATGTTCTATTTAAAGAAATTGCTATCAAGAGGCCACCTTTACATTTGCGAATCTGTAACCGCCTAAAAGTAAAAATTTGGTCAGTCTTTCTAAGAATCAAACCATTTTTATTATACTAAGGATATGTTCTACAAAATCGTAATCAGTTATTTATAATTAAAAAATGATCGATATTTTAAAAGTTGTTTTTATTATTTTGAATACGATTAAGTTAGCAATGTGTTGCCTACTCTAGTTAACTGCCCACCCTGTATAAAATACATATATTAATATGTTAAAAAATGTAACGTACGTATTAAAGAGAAGGTTACACTACGACCTATACACGATCATCTCCATAAATAGAAGCTCTCAAACTGTGGAATGGCTCTTTTTACGCTATATCGTTGGAAAATTGCCTGAAGGGATGGTTACACGCTCGGCGAAGTAGACGCGATACGCTCTAGAAACGGATAGCTAATAACCTGTGTTTAAACTACGGTTAGTCTACGTTTAAACTTCATGTTTATTATAAAAAGGACCATGACCTACACATTAAATAAAAATAAATACAAGTGCGCTTAAGTGAATGGCCACAGTTTCTTTATAAAATCTATGGTAGTAAAAATTGTGATGTAGTAGGTACATGAATATAACCTAGTCTGTAAGTACCCAACATTATGTACAATTGGTCAGTCGCATTATACCTCTCGAACTTACGCACGTCTTTTATTTTGTACACCACAAAAATTATCATCTCGATTTGCCGGGCAAACATTTTAATAAAATATCATTTTTATTCGTTTATAAATAGATTAATTGCAATACTAATAAAACCGCATGCGGTACCGAGAACTACGGAAGTCAGATAATTTTACGATGTTCGCGTAATGTTCGGTTTTGGGGGTCGACTATAATTAGATTTAGTCTTGGTTGTTTAAACAATTGCTTTTAATATACGACCAAGATTTTTTACTGTTTGGAATACACTATTGTCATACAATTTAAACTGCATCGCTGAATTTAGACGAATCTTAATGTGGGAATACAAAATATTACTTAACGTTGCTAATGTATTTTCTTTACCATTGGTCTAGGCAAATTACAAAACAGTAACTGTCGGTAACCATATCATCATCATCATCTGTTATTTACCTACTGTTTGTTGGTAACCTTATGCAACAATCAAATGCAAAAGAAATTATTTGCTAGCACTTATAAAAGTCGATTTAAATATAGTTTAGTAAGTAACGTTCACATTTGCCCGAAGATTATTTCCTCCATAGGATAGGATATTAGAGTCTTAATTATAAAAGGGAATCTTCAATAAAATATACAGTCCTTGAATTAGACGAATTAGTGAGCTACAGCTACAGCTCTTTGTACTGTTTTATTACAAACAAGCCACAAGTTTGACGGTAACCAGGCGGACTTCTGATAAATCTACGTGTGAGTTAAACGGAATCATAGTAACGCTTACTTCTAGGTACGTTTTATTCATTCTTTGTAATATTTTAGTCATAAAAGACAACGTAGATGGCGTTTGATGTAAGGATATAATTTTGTGGAATGCATTGGGGAAGGCCTATGTCCAGCATTGGGCAGATAAAGGCTGTTGATGATGATGATGATGATGATGATGATGATGATGATGATGACGTATTTAACAGTAGTAGAGCCCGCTTTAACATCTTCGCACGAATGGGCCGGCTAGCCGGGTGTAATGCCACGACCATAAAGAAAACAGGCGTGAAGTGGAAGCAATTCCGCGTCTGATAAGTGTGATGCCCGGAGGCCTAATTTTGGTCCCTTTCCATTTCCACCCTTTTCTTAAGAGGAAAGGATGGGAAGGAAAGGTGGATTTGACGATGGAGGAGACGCATAGGAAGGGGAAATGTCATGTTTATGTGCGTCTCCTCCTCCGTCAATTAAGGTTAGGCAACACATCTAAAATTGCGTATGTTTATGGGCAGCGGTCGCTTTCCATTTCGGTGGGTTCAGGTGGTCACTTGCTCATTGGCCACCTTATATTAATAGCTTGGTATTTCCAATGCACTACGTATGTTAAATGTAATAGTTAAGGACGGATTCTATTATTAAATTAAATATGAAATAAAATAATAAACTTATGTCAAGTTATTTTAAAAGCATTCATAAAACAAATGAACAAAGATACTTTTGACATATACTTGAATCGCTTCAATTGTTACCTGGCTTATAAAATATACAAAAAGGTTCTTTAATTAAAGCCATTGTTAATCTGTGAATGCAGATACTAGAGCACAAAAAGATTTTATAATGTATTTGTTCATGTCAACGGAGGTCTCTTGACATATATAAACAATTACTCGCTACCTGCCAAAGGTCGAGGTCAATAATTCATATTGTAACAACTCTCATGTTTAAATTTACGTGAGCACGGTAAGAGTCTGGAAAAAACCTTAATTATATTGCATGAAGTACTAATAATATGAATAGCTAAGTAAATGCGGCAATCAGAATTGTTAAGGGTATTTAGGATGTGGCTTAATGTAGAATTATTATAGTAAGTTAAGACTAAGGGACTCCTTAATTGTAACATGACTAATTTTATTTTTATATCAAGAGGACCGATCGACTAATCTATCAGAACAAAGGCACACTCTTTCGAAAGCCGTTTTAGCTTCACAAAGTAAAAATAGATCTGAAATACACTAGGCGCTAAATCTTTACACTGCCGTAAAGCAATAAACTGATATCTATTAAAAAGGATATGGATTGGTGATGAGTTTCAAACACCAGCTTCTTGGCCTCGTCTCCTGCGTCAGATAACGCAGTGCGACGGGCGTGAACCCGGGGAATGGTAGTCCTTGGCCCGACGAACTCTCCGTACTCAACCCCCCTTCTGAGTCGGAATTCCCCCCCTCCGAGTCAGAACAACCCCCACTTGATTCCGATCCTGGACCTTCTTCTCTATACCCGTAGTAAGGCATCTCCCTTTCTCTCTCACTTAACATATAAGCTCATAATATCACTTTGAAATGTAACGTCTATTCTACGATTAATCATTTCCAGTTTTCAACTATAAACGTAAGAATCGGATTGCAGTAGAAGGGGATGTTTGGAGCGCTTCTTCAAGATGTCAAATGACTGCTCCATGTTGGAATGTTGGTTAATCTGAAACAAAAGAATGATATAGTTTAGTAATGTATTAATCACTTAGCCTTAGATCGCGATTTCTTCTCCGTGACTTAAAAAAAAATATATTAAAAATACAGCCTATGCTACTTACTGATGCTGTAGCTTATTAATAGTGAAAGAATTTTTAAAATCGACCCAGTTTTTGAGTTATTTCAATACATACAAAAATACAAAACTTTTCTCTTTATAATATTAGTGTACATTACATGTTTGCGTAAAGAGATGAATTATAAACGTAAGTGTGTCTTAAAATATGTATAGACGTGGTGTTCGAAGAAAACAGACATTTTTATCTTGGCCTAAATACCAAAGTTGCAGACGTTAGCCCTGAGACAAAACCCTAAAGGAAAATAAAACTTAAAACACTTTTGGCGAGATGAAAAGAACGCTTTGTAGCCGAGCCTGCAACGAAGAATGCTGCGCTCATTTACTTGAAGGAAGCCGAGCGATTTAGTGCTTTAAATACAGTTTTTACAACCAGTAATTAAAACAACTGACGCCCGGACGACGGCTCCATCGCCCATCGCTCGAGTTATTGATAAACAGAATAAACTTTCCATTCAGTATTCGTAAATATCTTTTTTAATTTTAGTGATTTAACTCGGCATCAGCTTATTTGTAATAATGAAAAAGTAATCAATTCGTTAATGTACTGATAATAAGAATTTTAATCTATAGAAAGAAATAGAGCAGTTAAATGGAAAGGAAACTCTTTGTTTGTTATACTTTATTAAAATATTGGAGAAAACTGAAAGGTACTTAACCTCCTTCGTGTATTACAAACTTATAACAGTTTTTTGTTTCAGTGCAGTTAAAAATCTAGGTTCACTAAAACAGTCATAACATCCGATAAAAAGTTTATGTTTGTCTGTAATAACAAACAACTGTAAGTTTTCATTTTCTTCAATTTATTTTGTAGGTTAGGCTCCAAATCTGATAACATGGACTGAAATTGGAGCTCGCAATTTATGTAGCGTGTACATGAGGAAAGAAATTTCTCGAATGGAGATCAAGGATGGGGACCAGAAACGTAGGCTGTCCTCCATCCAGGTGGACCGACGACTTACTGCGGGAAGTCGTAAATTGCAGAAGGCGGAAGACCGTTTTTCGCTGAAGACATTGGAGAAGGCCTGTCCTACAGAGTGCAGATAAAGGCCGATGATGTTGAGTACATACAATATTTAGAACAGTAGTCATGTAAGAATAATAAAAAAAAATATTAAAAAAATTAGGATTTCTGATCCGATTGTAAAATCGAATCGTGATACGATAGCAAAATATCAGTCATATTTTTCCGCTCTTAAATATACACGAGAACGTAAAACAAATACGAGGATTTGCAATCTCTCGCCAAATAAATTCGGTAATAACACGACACGCCGCCTTGGTGTTTATATCTGCGTGTTTTATGAACTATATCATGTTTACTGAGGTTCAAATTCTTATTTATACAGTCACTTACATATATGTCTTCAGTTTTTTTTATAAGAAATAATAATTTAATACAGTACGAAATTTCATATTGTCTGTTCCCAAAAAAATAAAGGAGAAAATACATCTGTGCGGCAACAGAAAGCAAAGGTCAGAGGTCAATATTACGTCGTTCAACAGTCGTTTTATTTAGTAATTTATCAGCGCTTCAGTTTAATTAACGAGAGAGACCGTGGCTACAAAGTTTTGCGGATCAGTGAGAATTGAGAGCTTATTTGTTGAAGTTTACACTTGTAATCTGTTTCGCGTTTATCTCTCAGTAAGATTCTCACATCGTTGCTTTCCTTAGTGTGCGGATCAGTTAGAGAACTATTGTCATATTTCACTAGGATTTATTAATGACGATTGTGAGATGAATTCTATTTATTAAAGGTCTAACATTCAATAGTTGTAACTGTACCTTATTTAATGATTGAATTTTAAATTGTTTGTAAATCATTTCCTCTACACACGCCTTGTCTAAAGTTACGTAATTCCTTAAAAAAATGAAGTCGTAAAATGCATAATCTCTTTGCAAAGAGCTCGCATAAATAAGCAATAACTTCTTAAGCACCCTGTAAAGATATGATTCAACATTTTCTCGTAAGCCCATGAAATAACATCTGTGTTGAGTTGTGAAAGTGCCTACAAAAGTGGCAGATAAAACTTCAAGTTTCTTCTTTAAATTCAAGATCATGAGGTGAATTTTTTTTTTATAATTTAAGGTGGCAAACGAGTAAGCGGCCACCTGAATCCACCGAAATGGAAAACGACCGCTGCCCATAAACATCCGCAATTGCAGATGCGTTGCCTACCCTTAACTGACAGAGGAGGAGATGCACATAAAGTGGACATTTCCCCTTCCTATGCGTCTCCTCACCGTCAAATCCACTTTTCTTCCCATCCCTTCATCTTAAGAAAAGGGTGGAAAGGGAAAGGGACTAAAATTAGGCCTCCGGCACCACACTCATCAGACGAAACGCGGAATTGCTTCCACTTCACGCCTGTTTTCTGTGTGGTCGTGGTATTGCACCGGGCGAGCCGGCCCATTCGTGCGAAGATGTTAAAGCGGGCTCTACCACTGTTAATATTAAGAAGTAACTTCCAACGCCTATATGCTTTAACAAGTCGTGTTACTATTACGTATTACTATTTGCCTGTGCGATCTAGGACTGAAATATTTAAACTAACTACTAAGTACTTTATCTCATATCACCGTAACAAAGCATTTATGGTATGGATACCTAATTACGAAAATTCGACGCTTTTTATCAATACACTAGGAAATGTTATTGGAAAATAATTAGGTATTAAATGGAACAATGCTTTAAAGTCGAGACACGATTGAAAATCAAGCTTAACAAAAGCTTTTTCCCAAGCTGACGTAATAATACCCTCGACGCTTTCACTGTAATAGTGTTTTGTTCAAGAAATAGTCGAATACGACGTAAACGCCTGGAGGCAATAGCACCGTCGTTTGTCCCCACAAATCGATTGTCGTAAGTATCCCATTATCTTTTCCTTCCGTACGGTGTGAGCCCATTTATGTCGATTATTTAGTTCGTAAGTATATCCTTTAATACCTCCAAACACTAAATTTTTATTACAATAGTAAAAAAAGTAGACTGTAATTACATACACGGAGTTTTTGTACGCCAGAGTACCATTTTAACCGCTATAGAACTATTTTTATTATTATGTTCTAATATTACTTTCTGTAAATTCCGTGATATTCTTCAGTGAATGCGTTACATACAGAATTATTAATCTTATGTGGGATGATGTGACACACTCGAAGTATCGTATGACATTAATCATCCGAGTGACGAACTAACAACTCTATTCGGCCCAAGTCGAGTCAGGAGCACACAGAGCCAATAAATCAAACTAAACACGCTTCTCGCACAAACTTTAGTTCCAGCTAACATGGTAACGCTTGTAGCACACAGCTACGAAAGCGAACTGACACTAGAACATAGCGTGATATCTTTAGCGCACAAAGACATAGAAGCAACAATGGTATGCAAACAGTGCTCAATAAAAATACAAGAAAAATCCATCGTCATTAGCTTCTATATACATCTCCTTAGAGCGACAAGGTCCTAGTCAACTATGCTGATCTAAAGTAGAATGGCCTTTGAAGTGGACTTTACACAAGTTTTCCATTTCCCTTTAAAAACATCGACGAAATTAATGCTAATATTTCCTATCGCTTCCTTATCGGTTCGCTTTCACGTCTGTGTACTAGTCCACTAGCATTTTATTCAGCGCGGTCTCGTATTGTTTTCCCGATACCTGTCCCCGTTTGGAACAGCTTTGTGCCAGTCGCAGAATGACGACACTTATAAATCGATTTTATTGGCAACAATATTTTATTCGAGATACAAAGAAAAACGAATTTCTTTACTTTCATAGACAGCTGAAATTACTCCTAAGATGGCGTGGCTTGATTTACAAAGGAATGTTATCGGAATTTTCTTTGGCTTTGTAGATATGTTTTTATTGGATTCGCTACATTTTTGTTCAACTGACACGAGTCGGTTTTGTTTTGGTCTCTAGACAAAAGACCTAGGAGTTTTAGAAGAGCGAGGTATCAATCGATTCGCATATCTATATTAATACTAATATTATAAAGATGAAAAAATTGTATTTTTTTGCTTATTGAAATAACTCAAAAACTACTGGACCGATTTCACCGTTGCAAAGCTACGATATCAGTGAATAACATAGGCTATATATCTTATTATATTTAATCTCACACAGGCGAAGTCGCGAGCAACAGCTATCTCGTTATAAAGTTAGTAATATTGTTTTTCTAAAGGTATTCTGCCTTTTCAAAGGCGGCTAACATTTCCTATTTATATTGAATACATCTGAACTATAAAGTTCATCGTTTATTTTATTGTTAGACGTCCATACATCTGGTCGGCTAGACAACGAGACGGGGCGTCTGTCACCGGGAGCATTCCTTTTAAAAGGTCGTGTGTCTTAAATTGGTTAACAGGGCATCTCTTATGGATCTCATGGATGATGTATGAGAAAGTATTACATCAATGGTATTCCAAGAATTTATTAGATAAAAATATATCGGAGACTGCACAAGAATATTTAGAATCAAATATTACAAGTCTTAATCCGGAAATTTTACACATCTGTGAGGAGTTTGTATAAATTAGATAGACTAGAGCTTTATTTTGCAAGCGTTCTTATACGAGTATTCGTGTTCAGATACTTTGTGCGTGATGCCTTAATTCACTTTTGTAACAAAACTCTATTCTAGAAAACATTTCGTTGCCCTCGGGATGTCGTTAAAGTAGACGGATGGGTAATTCACGGAAATAAACCAGCTACGTAAAAACAATGACCTCCGTCCTCGGTGTTGTAAGGTTTGCTTGTAACCTGCTTATAGTAAAGTTTTTTTTTCTTTTTTTTACAGGGGGCTTTGTCGCAAAGCGAAGATAACACCCCATAAGTCTAAAACTAACAAAACTCAGTAATCTAACTTT